GGGGGGGGGGGGGGGCATTCTCTGTTTTGTTTGTTTGTTTGCAATATGTGAGACAGCGTGGTGAAACCAGGCTCTCGTCAAAACAATGAAATCGAAGAAAATAGCAGTTTTCTCCCTGCTAACAATTTTTATCAAATTTTTGTTTTTTGGCTCAACACCTTTTATGTCCATTTACAATCACATTCCTTTGAGGATTTCACCGAAAACGTTGATTAAAGACACAAAAATATACATTTACAATATCCATGGACTCTGCAGCTTTGGAATTTACCAAGCTTTGAAGGCCATTTTCTCGCTAATTTTACCTCTTAAACCAGGTGATCCCCACCTCCTTCAATCAAAAATATCTCCACTTCTATTGAAGATGGATGGGTAATTATTTCATTGAAAGCAAGACACACGGACAAGCTTTAAGATGATACCAACAACTCAATATGACCAAAAATTGACGAGAGCCTGATTCCACCACGCTGCCTCACATATGTTTTAACGGTTTAGTTAGTTGGGTTTTTTGTTTTTGTTTCTCTTCAACAGTTTTGTTTATTTGTTTGTTTTCGTGTTCTCTCTATTTTGTTTGTTTTCTTTTCCTTAGCTCTAACTAAGGAATGACTGTCGTGAATTTTAATTTGTTTTCTCTTCTTTTAAACCCTTCCCTCGAACTGCTTTGTTGGGTAATTGTTTGGGGTGGGGGTGGGGTGGAGTGGGAGGGGGGATGTTGGAAGTTTCTGTACTCTCTCTGACTGTTTCTGTCTGTCTGTTTGTCTGTCTATCAGTCTGTTTGTTTGTATCTCCCCCAGGCGGTAACGTCCAGATCCGACGACCAGGTCTCGGCGCGGCGGCGGGGGCGGCGGCAGGTGGCGCTGCTGCTGGGGCGGCCGGGGCGGCCATGCTCAACAGGCTGTTGAGGCGGAACAACAACAACAACAACAATAACAGCAACAACAGCAACAACAACAACAACAACCAAAGACCCCCATACAACCATCAAGGTGACGGATCTGGGCGTAACGCCAATCAGCAAGACACGAGACGACACCCTAACCAAAACGTAAGACATAACCCGAGCATTAACCCTAACCCTAACTCACACCGAAACCCGTACAACGACGAAGATCTTCGCCTTAACCTCTACAACACCGACGATAATGACGACACCAGTGACCTCCCTTTGAGAGTTGTCGGCCCTTCCACAATGGTCATGGCGGAAGCTTATAGGGGAAGTAACTCTAGCAAGAATAAAAACGGTTTCCAAGGAGACAACAACGGTTACTCAGGGGGAGCGGGTGCGGGCCCTGGAAATAGGGTAGGGTTACGAGAGGGAAAAGAGGCGGGCGGAGGCTTCCACAACGATGATGACGACGATTACGAGAATACGACAAGGAGGAAGAAGAAGAAGAAGAGAGTGGCCAAGCTGCTGGTCCCGGTAGAAGCAGACGACGACTTCACGGAGTTGAAGAGCCCGGGTCTGCCACGTGATCCACCCCCCGCCCCCGCACGCTATGACGTGCCCACCCCCGTCCTGAAGGAGGATAGACAGAGGATAGAGGCGGGTTACAAAGACAGGAGGGCAGGAGGACAGGCTAGGGTCACCATGACCGGCATGAATTTTTAAACCGGTTTTTTTCCCTTTTCAATATTTTTATTTATTTAATTTTTATATATATTTTTTCTCTTTGTTTCGCGTGTTACTGGTGATTTAGTTTTAGTAAGAGTTGTATGGCAATTGCTACACTATAAGATACTACGAGAGCCGAAGATTTGGGGTGTTACAAGAGAGTAATGAATAGCCTTTATAAAAGCTGTCCATTGAAACATTATAATGAAATATTATTTGGTTTTTGGTTTTTAAAAAATATAACTTTTGATTCTTTTCTGCTGAATTAAAGATTTTGAAACGAAAATAATCCACATTTAGTTGGGCAAATAGTGTTGATATTATTATGTATGGCACGCATGAATTTCTTAACAGAACGTCTTTTGCAACCTCGTGTAAAAAGTTGCGGTCATAATGACTGTCGTGAATGTCTAAATACAATGTATAAAATCTATGTCTTCGGAGGAAAATACACTTGCACTGTAGAGAAGAAAACAGTGTAAGGATGAGAGTAACTATTTTTCGAAGAATGTGGAAAAGTATATTCTTTTACGTTCATTTCTATTGTAAATTAACATTTTTATTTCAAAAAAAAAAAAAAAAAAGAAATAAGGAACGAATGAAATGGCAGATTTTTGTTAACATATTAAAAAATGTTAGCGTATCATAGACATCTGTTATGAGGCTTCGGAGTGTAAGTATTCTTGCCATGAAAGCTGATCATCTTCTTTCTCAACAGCCCCGTAAACTTAACAAATACAATTTTAAAAAAAGACACAACACAGCTCAACACAGCACAACATTAATACACATCGGGAACACATCACAGCACAGCACAGAACAGCACAACACAACGCAGCACAGCACAGCACAGCACAGCACAGCACAGCACAGCACAGCACAGCACAGCACAGCACAACACAGCATAACACAACAAAACACAAACCAGCACAGCACAAACATAACACACCACACCACATCACACCACAACCCAACCCAACCCAACACAGCACAGCACAGTACAACACAATCCAACCCAGCACAGCACAGCACAAAACAACATAGCACAACACAACACAACATAGCACAGAACAGCTCAGCATAACACACCACTACACAGCACAGCAAAGCACAGCACAGCACAGCACACCTCATTAAAACACATGCAACACAAAACATTTCAACACAACACACCTTAAACACACATTGAGAGTGCACTACAACACGTCAAAACACACCATTAACAAAGACCGTTCCATTAACACAATATGCCATGAACACAGCAATGTAATAAAAGTAAAGTCCTGTCACTCCGTGGGTTTTTTTGGTCCTTTATTTAATTCTCACACACAGACAATAACTTGAAACAAAAATTGATCGGAAGGAAGAAGAGGAGGAGGAGGAGGAGGAGGAGGAGGAGGAGGAGGAGGAGGAGGAAGAGGAGGAAGAGGAGGAGGAGAGGGAGGAGGAGGAGGAAGAGGAGGAGGAGGAATGAATGGATGATGATGATGATGATGATGATGATGATGATGATGATGATGATGATGATGATGACGAGGATGATGATGATATGGGACTAGTGAAAAAAAGGAAATAACATAAAGGAAAAATGAACGATTGAGAAAAAAGTCTTTGATTATTATCACAAAATAGTATCTTATTATAGATAAACATTATCTTTTTCCTCTTACAAACAAGAAACTCTCACTCTCATCAAGAGGTGAAAATACATTCGTATTTAATAACAGCAACAATATAATAAGTGGTGGTGGTGATAGATTGATGCAGTAGTGATGGCCGGGGTGGTGGTGCTAGTTGTGGTGGTGATGGTGGTGGTGGTGGTAGATGTAGTTGTGGTGATGGTGAAGGAGATAGTAGATGTATTTGTAGTAGCTGTGGTGATTGTGCATGTGGTGATGTTAGTGTTAGCGGTAATTGTGATGGTGGTGATGATGATGTAGCATTTCCATTACCAAAATGTTGAAACTATTTTGCCAACAATTATCTCTACCGCATGTCAAGAAGATATAACTCAACAATATATTGGGTGACATCAGGGTGAAAACAGGCGCTTGTCCAAATAACAAATCAAAGTAACCGACACGTTTCCACCCATGAGGGCATTTTTATCAATTTCATTTTTCGAAAGGGGGGGGGGGGGTGTAAACACTTCCTATAGTCGATTCAGTATCACATTTCTATATGGATTATAGGGAAAATCATTGATCAAGGGCACACAAAAGATAAATTTGCAGCTTTCAAGGATACTCAAACTTTGAAAGTCACTAAATATTGGCGGAGATTATCTTAGAAATTATACCTTTAAAACAAGGTTACCCCAACACCTTCAATCGAAGATGTCTCCACTTATATTTAAGATAAATGGACCATATTTTTTCTAAAAAATTAAACAAATGAACAAGCTTAATGATTATACAAGTACCTCCATACATGCATCAAGAAAACATTGGTGAGCGCCTGATTCCAACGTCCCAGGAAACAGATAAAATAATGAGGTCGAAAGGGAAAATTAGAAAGATAAGACAGTCCTTATGATATGCACACTTGTTATATGCACCCCCCCCCCTCTTCCTCCACCGCCTTAAATAAATAAATAAATAAATAAACAGATAAATAAATAAATAAATAAACAAATAAATAGAACGAAATAGATAAAAGAAAATGCAAACCAAATACATGATACATGAATGAATTCTAAAAGTAATAGTTAGACCATTATTGTCTAGGATCAGACAGCTTATACGATAATAAAGCAATAATTGTTAAACAGTTGTCGTCATATCTAATATTCAGTTTACATGAGAATCTACGTTTTGTTTGCGCATGTCTGCAAAACGCAATCTACATGTAGGAGCTACGTGATTTTTTTTTCGCGAAATGAATGTCTTTCATGTGAACTTCAACCACAAAAATGGCAGAACCAAGAAAACATTAATTTTCTCGGGAACGACAGGAAAAAAAATAACAGAAAAAACTTCGCTCAGTAGGGCGAACATACTACAGGACTGTCCTGTCGCGGCAGACGACAAACTCTTGGTATTTCTTACAAAACTTCTGGTTGACCTTCACCTCCATCTTCAATTTCACCCTCACTTTGATCTTCACCTTCACCTCCATCTTCGATTTCACCTTTACTTTGATTTTAACCTTCACCTTCAACTTAATCTTCACCTTCACCTTCACCTTGATCTTCGCTTTCACCTTCACCTTCACCTTCATCTTCTCTTTCACCTTAACCTTCATCTTCACCTTCATCTTCACCTTCGTTTCGTCTTCGATTTCATCTTCACCTCCACCTTCACCTTCACTTTCACCTTCGACTTCCGCCACCAGATTTGGAGGTCGTCTCCCCTGCATTTCCCTTTACATTCCCCCTCACATTCCCCCTCACAGGAGCTTTCCCCGCGCCGCCATGTTTGTCTTTGACAGGAGAGAACTCTCGCTCCACTGGTCTCCTCCTGTCCCGTATCACAGAGGTATTCTTGGGCGCGCTCAGAGTGTCCCAGATGGTCGGCTTTTTGCTGCAAGAAAGAAATAGACGGAGAATGTTTCTTTTATTCCTTCATAGTATTATTTATGTCCATACAGTCCAACTTGCTTTATCTATCACCTGTCTAAGATGGCTATTTTTTCATCTTTACTTTTTACTTTACCTTTATCCGCCACTTATACCTTTTTGGGAAGAAAGAGACGTCTCTTTGCCATCAACCTAATATAGTGGTCGTTTTGAACAGGCTCGAAGGAACAGTAATAGACAAAAAAGTAAATGTAAGGGAAAGTATCGTTTGTACAGGTGATTGTCTTGGACAAGTGGTCTTCAGAGCAGGCTCGGCTTTACTCTTATCTTTTTCTTCAGTCGTTCATTTAGTAAACTGTCTGGGGATAGTAGACAAGTACAATAATTCTCTTTTAGTATTGCATCATACCTTACAGATTTTCATTTTTTCCCTTCACTTATATCTTCACTTTCGTCTATGTCAGTTTTACAGTTTTGTGGCATAAAAACATTAATTTAACCTTACAAAAAATTTAATGAATTTAAAGACAAAAACATTCATTTTTATAAACGGTCTGTCTGAAATAAATACACAGGAAAAGTTTTCATATATTTCACCATAATTATTATTGTACAAATTCTCTTGGTTTTCACTCAGTCTACTGCTCAATTTGATATAAATTGTGTCATTGGGAGAACAAAAACACCTTAAAAAGACCCAAAAAATATTCTGGCTGGTAAAAAGTCTATCTGAGACAAAGGCACAGAAAACATTCTTTTATTTCACCATCATTATAGAGACTTCTCCTTTTATGGTAAAAATAATAATGATAATAATGAAAATGTTCCTTTCATTTTAGCACCGGGCACATGGCCATGCCCTATAACCTAATAAGACAGAGTTGACCTTATCATTTTAATCAAGATAGAGAGAGAAAGAGAGAGAAAGAGAGAGAGAGAGAGAGAGAGAGAGAGAGAGAGAGAGAGAGAG